TGACTCAAAGTGTCTGATCCAACTAGGCTTACAACTTGATTTTTATAGTGTCATGTTGTTGGTTTGTGGCCAATGATTGTGAACTTGCCCATGAGATTTAAAAGCCAAGATTTATGCCAATCAGGGGTGAAATCCATTAGAAAGAAAAAAAAAAGGGAGAAGAAGGGAAGCAAAAACCCCTTATGCCAAATATATATTGTTATTGAGTTTATATGCACTTTTAAGTACTAATCACCTGTCTGGATTTATTAGTTCTTTGATATTCTATTATACTATTAGTTTTTTCATTAACATGGCATCCCTGTCTAGATTTATTAGTTCTTTGATACTCTATTATACTCTTTTGAGATGTGTCTTTAGTCTGTTGAGTTCCCTATCACCTTACACAAATAGATTTTATTTATTTTAAATCTTTATTTAACAAAAAAAATCTAGAATATTTGTAAAAATAATATTCTATTATCTTATTATTTTATTTGAGATACATATTATCATTTCTTGAATAATGTGTTATCATTATTTGTATACACATATATTTATTTCATAGGTAACATGTACTCTAAAGATATTAGGTTGAGTGTCCCTTAATTTTTTATCCTTTTTTTTCTTGAACATTGCATAGGCTTGGATGGTTTAGTATAAATAGAACTTCATATACATGTTTTAATTGCATAAAATATAGTCTATTTGGTTGCACATATTATTGCCATCATGAATTGTCCTAGTTAATTGAATTGTCCATTTTCCTAAAGGCTCACAAGCATTATTATACTTCAAAGTCTTTTAGACTGAAATATTAACAACTCATCTAGCCATGTTAATAAGAAATGGCATTTAAAGGCATGTGATGTAGGTTATAATTCATGACCATGAAAGAAAGGATACATAAATTTCAAATGGTGTTTAAAGATTCAAATACACAAGATCAATTATTATGTAGGGAGCTTATTTTTAGGCTTGTTACCTTGACTTTTTTTATTTTACTGATTGATCTTGTTTCAATCTCAATTATCAAAGTTATATCTAGTACTTTGTTGCTGACAAGTTTGAACTTTGCATCATTATGAAATACTCTTTAAAAAGTCTTTCATCCTTTTTCATTTTTTGTTTCTCTTTTTCAAGCTTTATCATTTGAAATTTTTTAGTTTACTATATGTTAACTATCCTTTGTAATGTTTCTGACCCTTTTGTATATATATATTTTAAATTTTTTTAGAGAATGTCAGTAATTATCTATAGATTTTCAAAACATGCTTTAAATAAGGAGGGTGATCTTAGTCTAGGTTATCATTTAGGAAATACTTAAGGTTTTAAAAAGGATAAGAAGGATATATATTCTTTCTATTAAAGAATTATCAAAAATGGTCTTTTGTCATGTCTATTATAACTCAATTTTTTACCCTTAATTCAAAAATATGTTCCAAAAATCCAAAACAAAACAATAAAATTCACAAAATATGTTTTTGATGCATTTTGTTCATTCAGATGCTCATTTTGTAATTTCCAATCATTTTTCTCTTATTGGTGTCTTTTGCAAAAATAAAATTCAAAGAAATATATTTTTGATGCATTCACATCCATTTTGTATTTCTTAGTTTCTTATCAAATTAACATTAGCATTGTTTTTCAATAACACTAAAATACAAAAAAAAAATAAAAAAAATAAAAAAAAATAGATAGCAAAATAGATAAAAGGATAGAATGCAAAACAAAAGAAATGAAGACCAAAACAAAATTGATTTATTTGGAGACCAAGTAGCTAAAGAGAAAATGACAAAATTTATAAAATATAAATAAGTGAGTGAATTGTAGGGAAAGAGTGACTACTATATAAAAAAGCTATTCATCATCCATTCCATAAAAACCTGAATCATTAAGGATAGAGAGAAAATGTGCTAAAAAGAGAGGAAAAAAATAAAAAGAGAAAATAAGGGACTATTCAATTTATTTCTTCTTCACATTCTCTTAAAACCTTAACAAAAAACCATGTGGAGTCACCATTCTATCACATTTGATATTGTGCTCTCTTTCCTAAATGGGAAAAGGTTTTTTTTATTTATTATTATGAAGAAGGGAAAAAAATCATATGCTATGAATATGAGTTGTCATCTAATATTATAATCACTAGAAAACTAATTGGTCTTCAGAGTTCTAAGATAAGGGACTTGTTATGCTAAAAAAAAAAAATATTATCATCCTAAAATATTATATCTAAGGTAAATTGCATTGCTACTTATCTTTTATTTTTAATGATTTGTTATGCTTAAGACTAATGCTCTATTTAAATAGAGAAAGTGAGTATACTGTAGTATGGACAAGTGAGTTCAAACCTATCCATTATAAAGTTCAAATCATCTTTGTCATTCTTAATTCCTTAATAAATTAACATATCTACAATCATTTACTCTTGATTATAACCTATAACTATTAATAGTCTATCAAATCAAGTCAATAAATAACTAGGTGAACTTTTATTAGACTCATTAAACCAACCCAAATACTAGGAGGATTTGTCACTGAACATTTTGCTTATACATTATTGGACTTAACAAGAGCATTTTTTCCTTGTTAAATTTGGAGTTGAAAAGATTGAAGCAAGATTTTAAAAGAAATGGTATTTACTCGTTATTTTGAAAATGATCTTTATTTAAAAAAAAAAAAGTTCTCAATAAAAATAACATGTTAAGAAATAAATACTTTGTTTTTATTTAGAGTTAAGAAAATGAAATGCATGATGATTTATTAAGTAATCAAAGAGCATATATAATCTATATCAAGGTTTTAATATAGAGGAGTTATAAGGATAAAGTCACAAATAAGATAGACAACCAAGTAGCCATATAAAATTATAATTGTGATGGTGATGACAAAGTCTATGAAATAGAATTTTAAAGTTAAGTGTAGAAGAGGGTACACAATTGATTAAAGAAGTGGTAGTTTGAAATGCACATGGGTAGAAGATAACTTGTGACTTTTATTATAATGATATGAATCATAAGAAGACTTAAAATTGAATGCCTTTGATACATAAATTTTTAAACTGGAAATAAACTTTTGTTGAATAGAAAGAGATGGTTGACAAAGTCGTTAATGCGATCAGTTCGACATGGTGGTAAACACAAAATAAAAAAGTAATTATGAATATCTATATATAATATAGTCCAGCTTTTGATAATAAATACCTTTTTGATCAAATCATTTATAATAAAATCATAAGAAAAAACTCAACAAATATATTTTTTACTTACAAAAAGAAATTGATATAATTTTTTTTATTTAATATAAGATGCATATAGTAAATTATCCAATGTAAATATGGTCACGAATGAATTAAATGTAGTAGAATCAATATGAGAAACAAGGACACCATTTACATTACCAACCATTTACATTACCAGCTATCTCTCCACATATTAGCCTTACACGAGTTTATTTTTTACTAACTTTTATATTTATAGTGCAATAAATATTTGATAACAAATTAAATTATATTTTGCATTATAGAGTCCATTAAAAAATTAAATTTAAAACATAATTTTCATATAGCAGTTTTTACATATATTTTTAATTAAGTTTCACAAAATCTTATTTATTTTTGAGTTTCAAAAGCATTTAAAAAAAATTAATTTTTTTATTTTTTCTTTACTTCAAATTGATATGTTTTTTGTGTTTATCAAAAATAATTTTTTAAAAATAAAAAAATTATTTTATTATATTTCTAAGTAAAAAATAGTTTGAAAAACAACCATAAATATACTTTCTCAAAATATTTTATATATATTTTTTGTTATATATAAACTTTAACCATAATTTTTACTAATATATATCTAAATTCACAACTAATTATAGCTAATTACCTTATTTGTTTTAATTATAACCATAAAAATTACTTATAAAACAAATATTTTTAGAGACGATACCCCTGATCGTTCTCACTCATTATGCTAGGGAAGGGGAAAGGGTAGAATTCTTTTCCATTAGATTTGGAGAAATTCCTCATTAACCTAAAAATTACATTACATAATACCCTTAGATTAGGGATGAGAGTGAGTATCTACTTGTCATGTTTTTTTATATCTTTTATACATCAAATATAATATTCATATTCTATTATTATTTATTATTTATAATATATATATATATTGCATTGGATTTTAAATTTTTTTAATGTTCTATGTATATATATTATTGTGTGTAATATGTGAGCTATGTATATATTGTATTAGATTTTAAAAACCATTAAATGTTCTATGTATATATTTATATAATATAAATATATATTTCAGGTTAAATTTAATGTCAGGTTTTAATAATAGTAGCATTCTTTTTATTATCTATTGGATAAAATATACATAAACAAATTATTTATTCAAGTTGATTTAGATCTATATAGTGTAAATTAAATTCAAGACTGAACTTAATTATTATTCTAAATTTATCTATTTTGAATCTATTAATTAACAATCGATATTCAAAATTAAAATAAAGTGGGCCCTTGCATCATCCATCGAGGAGGATGAACAAGTCATTTATGCTATTGTTATGATGCAATTTAACTCAAATTTTTAAAAGTGTTTTTTTCATGCTTTTTTTTCTCAAAGTATTATATTTCTGTATTTTTTATTATTTTAATATATTAATATAAAAAATATAAAAAAAATTATTAAAAATATATTCAAATTAAAAAATACTTTTACAAAAACACCCTAATATATTTTCAAAAACTAACAAAAAAAAGTTAATTAAGATTTATAAGAATGTAAGAAAAAACATAAAGAATATATATAGGAGATGATTTATTATTGAGATATTTAGGGATATTTAAAAATATATAGTAGTTATGTTTTAAAGTTTTTTTTTAAATATATTACAATAATATTTTTTTGAAATTATTTTTTATATTAACATATTAAAATATTATTTTAAAATAAAAATAAAATTTTTTTAACATCTTTTAAAATATTTTTAAATACAAAAACAAATCAATTATGTCAAACCAACAGAGCAACCACCACAGTTGTTCCTTGGCTCTGTCTCATCTCCCCCCTTCAACAAAAACAAAGCAAGAGGATAAAGAAAAAGAAACAATGGCAGCGAAGCAAATGGAAGATATACAGAGAAAATTAGGGATGCTGAATTATCCAAGAGCCAATGCTCCCGCTCAGTCTCTTCTTTTTGCCGGCATGGAACGTTACGCTCTTCTCGAATGGCTCTTCTTCAAGTACTTCATTTCCCCTTATTATTATCTTGTTCTTTGTCACCTTTTTTTTTGGGAAAATTGAAGTAAATGGCTTGTTTAATTACTGGGAAAAGGCGGCTGAAGGAGAAAATTAATTTGTGAGATTTTCCTTGTTACTTCTTGATGATGCATGTCTGCTTTACTTGGTAATAGTTGATTGCTGATTGACTGTCGATTTGACCCAGAAATTTGGTTACATATGAATTAGTTTAGTACTAGACATGTTAATTTGGCTGCAATTGAAATAATGAATTGCTGTCTGAAGGGCATTTAAATGTCTTCTGTACTCTGAATTGCAGGTTATTGGGTGATAAATCACCATTCTCGCAGCAAAATCTACAAGGAGATGCTATGGATCGTGACGAAGAGACGGCTCGTATCCAATGTAAGCTTTATTTATTTTTTTATTTTTTTATCATTCTGGAAATTAAGTTTTTGTGTTCCCTTGTACATTTAACAATTTTTATTGTTGGAGTAAAAAACTATCTGAGAATATATTACGAAGGACTTGTGCTGATTTTAGTGTCTTCTCTTATTTTTACTCGAGTCTTTATTATGTAGGACTTGTGCTGATTTTAGTGTCTTCTCTTACTTTTACTCGAGTCTTTATTATGTAGGACAGTTATGAGGGTTTATTGCAAGCGTAATAATTATTGATTAGAGATGTGGATGGCTGTGCCTTAGATCTATTTTAGGTGGAGTTTTGTGTGGTAAATGGTCTTGAAATATGCATGTGATTTGGCATTTCTAGTAAAATCTGGAATCATTTGAGGAGAAGAAACCAAAATTCAAAGTTTGTTACAGCTGCTGTCTTAGCCCTGCAAGTTCTTTTTAGGATTGATGTTAATTGGTTCATGGATTGCTTTATGTTTTCTAGAACATAATGTAGGGTTCTAGGATAAAAATCAGGTTTTTGTTCTTAGTGGAGTCACTTTAAATTTTTTAGAAATGTTAGAATATCATGTTTAGAATTCTCTTTTCACTACACTGAGAATCAGGGTTTGTTAGTGTGGATTTCATATATGCGCATAGACTACCTACCAGCAATTTGTGGATTTCATATATGCGCATAGACTACCAGTAATGTTATCTCATAAACCTACGAGACTTGGAATCTTGGAAAGAACTGTAAATTTCATTGGTGGGTGACTGGATTTGGAATCTTAGCTTTCTTTCAGAAACTGATTCTCTTTGGCAATAAGGTTATCTGTAGAAGTTTAGGCTTCAATCTAATTGTTGGAATTCTTAGGTTAATCTTGCAGGTCCCCCCCACCCTTCTTTCCTTTGATCAAAGATGAAGTTGGTATTAGCTATTTCATTCTCCCCTGGGATGTGTTGAGGAGCACTCATTGTCTATTGATTTTAAAAAACTTCATTGGTTATCCAGGCTTCATCTCAAGCCTGTTTATAGTATATAACTAGGGGAATAGTATTTCTTTGAGGTTTCATTCTTCAGTAATATGATTTATAGGGAAACTAAAGATCTTTTACCCTGGCTTCCAACTCTTCTTGTTTCACCTTTTGTGTCTGCTTGTAGAGGGATGGATATTGTACAGTTCATTTTCTTCTCGATAATCTCAATCAGAATCCAAACCCATTTCAATTTAGTCTTAACTAGCTTAACTGGAAAGCGAAAGTTTATTGCTCTTTATTTAATATCAATGAGTATTTTGCAAAATTTTGTTTTGCCTTTTTTATAAAATGGATCCGGGAAAAAGCTTGGTAGATTTCTCATTGGTCATTGCAAGTGCAAATGTTTGGACTTTGGCTTTTTGATACACCTATAGGGTTCACTGTCTATGTAACTTATATTTTATAACTGTTCTTTCTTCTGGGCTCTGAGGCATCTCGGTTTTTGTCATTCTTTTCTCTAAGATCTTTGTAATAACTTCAAAATGGTTCATTAGCATTTGTGATTATATTATTGTTGTTACAATTAAAAAATAACTATGCATTTTATTGCAGATCTGGCAGAGATTGCAAAGTTTCTGGGCATCACTTCAATTATAGATACAGAAGCCATCCAAGTAAGTTACTTAATTCTGTATATAAAATAGCCACTTTTTAATCAATGATTGCCTAACTAAGTAACAGTTTTTATACAGTGCACTTCTTAGTTAACTTCAACGAGGTTACGTACCGTTGAACATCCTTCTTAATCCCAACATATTCTTTCATTAGGAACACTTGGTAACT